CCTTCCAACGTCCTTCAAGACCGAACTAGGTTATAGGATAATTAGAAGTCTATGTCCAAAACGACAAGTTAGTAAATAAAATGGTTTTACATGGTAGTTAGGAGATAGGTTAGTCAATGAATTAAGGAAGGTGTTTATGTGTGTTAGATTTTTCCTTCAATTTACATACTCGGAACATTTGTCTGTGTAACCGTGTTTGTCGACTTAGGTTGTTGGGAGGTTAACGACTTCATTTACTCTCTTAAATTCTCAAGAGGCAATGAGAGATAGATGCGTGACTAACTGTTTTATTTATTATTAGCTAATATACACTAACTTAAGTCAGATGCGTAACTAACTATTCCATTTAAATTTAGCAGGTGTACAATGACATAGTCAACCTTACTCCCACACTTCTTTCCTTGTTTATATCTCTATAGTTAGATATGAGTTTTAGGGTTATAACGGACCTTTAATCCTCGTCCAATTGAACTATCTATTCAATGCATTACTTACTACCTTACAAAGTATAAAACCCTCTATATATTTTTTTGGGTTGTATCAATAATAGCGGCAACGAGGTAGCATTACACTGAAAATCTCATGAATCCTAGTGAATAATATTTTCGCTCTTAATTCATTATAAGGGATAACTATGAGTAACTTAACTTTATTCCCCTTGAACTTTTTTGTCATACAAAATAAAGAACACTCGGTCATATGTTTATTTTTACGCTCTTATGCCTTATGACCCAATGTGATCTGCTAATGGAAGGCGAGTTAGTAGTAAGAAGTGAAGTTTTGAATAAAAGGATGAAAATGGGGAATCTGAAGGAAAGGATGACATGGTGGTCATCGAAAACATGATATTAGAAACATTACGAATACGAGATGACTCGTACAACAGAAAAATTGTGTTTTTTTTTTGGGCGGTTTATCATATGCGGGCACCCTTTTTAAACTGTTGGTTTCGTGTTAATAAATAGTTTGCCGGAGGTAGTGTCATATTTCCACCAAAAGTGAAGGAACTCGACGTTGATAACATATGTCATAAACATGTGACACTGTGTTAAACACTTTTTCAATTGATGAAAAGTTGTTGATAAGCTGTTTATAAGTTGTTGTAATGTTGTTTACAAGTTGTTTAAATGTGTTGAAATGTTGTTGAAATGTTGTTTAAATGTGATGAAATGTTGTTGAAATGTTGTTTAAATGATATGAGAGAGAGGGAGAGAGAGAAAGTGAGAGAGAGAGAGAGAGAGAGAGACATGGCGTCTGAGAAAGAGTGAGAAAGAGAGAGAGAGAGAGAGAAAGAGGGAGAGAGAGAGAGAGAGAGTCATTCTCCCTCCCGTACTGATGATGGCAGAAAACTTGCCCTGTTGCTATTTATATTATTCGGGGGTCTATGTAGCTTCTGTGAACCTTGAATGCAGCTGCAAAGACAAATGTCCACAGGGGTGTCAAAACGATATTGAAAGGCAGATTGGCTACCGAGTGTCAATTTCCAGCATCACTCACATGCACGACAAGAACATGGCATGCAGTAGTCAACCACTCATGTACTTCTCGCCCAGTATTAAGATGAACATGTTTTCTAGTGTCTTCTCAATACTGCTTCAAGACATCATATTCAACATTTTTGGGAGTTTGTAATGCGTTTTCTGCAAACGAACCAAATGATTCGTGTTTTTACATAATGACGCAGTGCGTATATTTGCAAGACAAGCAACCATGTAAACAATAAATAGATGGTGAGTAATGTGAGATGCGAGACGCAAATGCCACGTGATGGTCGAAACATATCCATGACAGGACTTGTACAAAAACCATTCATTAAATAAAACATGTTTGCTTATTGTACACTCAGCCCTAAGGGTTCTCCAAAGTCTTTTGTTTTCGGATAGCAACTCTATCCGTCTCTCTCTCTCTCTCTCTCTCTCTCTCTCTCTTATATTTTACATTTTGGTCCTCATTGGCTTGGTGTCATGCCACCAACTGTGAGTGGAGGTGCAGCTCATGTCCCCTACAACATCGTTACCACTGTCTGCTCCCTATGTTCCACCCCCAACCCCCGTCCATCTACATCTGGACCCCCTCTTCTCCTTTTCACGGCCTTGCGCACAAACTTTCTTCGTTTCTCTCTCTGTCCACACGTTTGTCGTCGGTGGGCGCAATGAACTCAAGTTCAAAATCATCATCTGTTGTAGTCATGTTATTGGCGTCTCCCTTCCGTACAGCAGGCAACCCGGCTCTGTACAATGCGACAGCCTTCTCTGCAACAAAAATAGCACGGTCGAGCTTGAAGACAGAAAAACTTAAAACGGTGTCTCGGGAGCAGAGCGACGCAGCAATCTCTTTCTTGATAGTTGCAAGTTTTTGTATTTGCTCCGCTGCCTTGCTGGTCTTTGCCGTCTGTTCGACTCAGTTTTCAGTACCAGTTCCGCAAATGCAAGTTGCTGCAACGTTACACCGAGGTTGATGCCATCCCTTCTCATTTGAAAAACTTTTGTCAGTGCCGTCTTGAAAGGAGGTGCGCCCCATGGATCATTGCCGCTCCTTCTCCAAGTTGTGTTCCCTTTCATCTCTGCCCGCATCCTGTTACGAGTCGGAAGCTGGTGGTCTGTTTGGGCCGACCGGACCAGCGGCAGACCTTTTTCGGCCCAAAACCAATGTCTCAATTGCCAAGATATCTCGCCGCGGACCGTTGTCATAATCCGATTGCATTCCCCGATCACTGCTCGGATTTCGTACGTTGCCACGTGCAACCGTAATCCTTCCTCCACATCTTCTCCTATCGATTTCGCAGTTGTTTGCAGTGCCGTAAAAACGGCGTAAAAACGGCGTGGCATCCTTTGCTGTAGAAAAAGCAAAGGCCTTTGCCACCGAACGAAACAGTCTGTCTTTCATTTTCTTTGTAAAACCCCAGGTTTGTTGCTCTGTTGGTTCGCCAGCATTGCCTCCACCGGTGCTGCTTCGCCTACGCAAACTGGTGTAATCTGGGAAAAAAATACAAAAATAACAACAAACTATTGATTTAGTAATAAGAAGACCCTCCGCGATACGTATTCTATGTGTTGCAATCACAAACAAACGTAAGACCGTCAACTCCCCTGCCATACCCTCCTCCGAATACACTTCGTAACACCTCTCATAAAGACCCCCTTCCAACGGCCCCCTCCCCTTCCCCCCCTCCCCCCCGTGAACCTCGTCGTTTTTGCGGCATGCAACAACGACTGTGCTGTGCATAAATAGTGGTGTGTTTATAAGGCGCCCTTCATCTTACCCTGTACCGGTACATTCTCCTTCTCCACAATTTGTTTGTCGTTCGATGAAGTCCCCGGTGCGCCTCCCTTTTTCTCATCAGTTTCGCATTGTGCACTGTTCTCAGCAGATGTAATCTCTCTTTCTTCGTCTTCACTGTTGCCTTCTTCTGCCTCTCCGCCCTCCTCGGATCTGTCCTCTCCCTCTGCCTCTTCTCCCTCCGGATCGCTCTCCTCTGCATCGACATCATGGTGACCGTCACTGTTGTCACCTTCTCCTCGTTCTTGCATTCTCTCGTGTTCTACTTCTTCTGACATTTCTTCCGCACAGTTTTCCTCTTTGTCTTCCTCCCGAGCTGTGGTTCGTAAATCGTATGACCCTCTGAGGTCGATTGCTTCAGGACTCCTATCGTTTCTGTATATTATTCTTTTCTTTGTCCTCAGTTGTTGACTCTGTGCTTTTTCTTCTCGTCTTTTCTTCTGTGGCGCTGTCGGAGGCTGCCTCTCGAGGTTGCCGTGTCCCTTCCGCAGCAAGGGAGTCGCGGCAGGTAACTTGTTGTGTGCGAGCAGTTTCCCACTCTGCTTTTTCCTCGGCGGGACAAAGAGCACAACTTCTGTTCTACGGACTATGTTCGTCTCCCGTCTCTTGAATCGGGGAATATCCCTGATGGTATGTCTTTGCTTGACAGTCTTCTGGCCTTCCTTTGTTGTCCTCTCCCCCTTCTCTCTCCCCCCTGTGGACTTCAAGGTCTTGCACAGATCCTCGTACCTTGGCTTCGGAGCCATTCTCTTCACGCTTATTAAAAGCCTCTGATATGCATGAATTCACAAACACTCATATTAGACATGGAATGATTTTATATTATACAACGATCATTTGTCATCCACCACCCCAGGCGAGATTTTCACACGCAGGGAGGGAGAGAGAGAGAGAGAGAGAGAGAGAGAGAGAGAGAGAGAGAGAGAGAGAGAGAGAGAGAGTTTTTTTGCCGTTATGACACGAAAGACGATATTTTTTTCTTTATTACATCACGCATTCATCCATCGACTGAGCGCAGAAGTTGGCTACTGCGTGCCGATTGGCTTCTCTACGATGTGTGAGTTCTGTATATTTGCACGCGGTTGTCAATTTCGTGTTTCCTGATCTCACGGTTTCTATCATGCCCTCGTATTTACGAACATCCACTCCGTGTTTCGTCGATGAGATCTCTGAAAACATTTTCTATGTCACATACTGCTGCGGTGTTATATCCTTTTGCCTCGACAACACACTTCGCAAAGCGCTGTACCATTGACTGACAAAATATATCGACCGTTTGGTCGTCAACCTCCATCGCGCTAACAACTTCTGTTATATATTTTGCGGTAATGTTCGTTTTCTTACTCAGTTTTGCTAGCTTTCGCATAAATTAAGCTGCCACGCAACAAACGTAAACACTACAGTCCGACGTATTGGTCTGTTGACAACATTCAGCGTACACTATCTTAGATCCAAGTAGATCTCTCCATGTCACCCACGACGTGTCCACTGTGTCGGGAGTCAACACCCTTGCTTTGTCTGCCTCGCTGAGGTATTCATACCACAAAAATGTGCGCAACGCCTTCCATTCCTGTCGGCCGCTCTGTTGAAAGGAATCGATGACGATCGCAACAGGTCGTTTCTGGCCATCGTTGTCCTCCGTGACTGCCAAAAACTGGCCGACATTCAGTAGCAAGAGCAGTTTCCAATATTTTTCGTGATTCACAGGGATGAGAACAACACTTGTTGTTCGCAGTTCATTGCTTATTCAACGCAGCTTTGGCGATGTACTCTTGATCCGCCCCTGCCATCCCGCTTTCGCGACATAAACCTTCTGATTGGCGATGACTGCGGGGTGCCAGAAAGATGTGCAAACATGAAGTGTCATATTGTCTCCGTCTGGAAAATGTTCGTCATAGACGGACTGTAAGTACATATCGATCACGTTATCGTTCAGCCACTGCTTGGCACCCAATCGCAATACGTCCCGTTTTGTTATCGATATGGTGTGTCTTCTTGATTTCCACGTGAACGGGAACAAGTGTTCCTCGTCCACCCTCTTGGGTCTCTTTCCAGCCTCTGCAGCCATACCCGTGGACCGATTGCCTCCTGCAATATTGAACAAAGGTTCATGCACCATCTGAGGATATTGGGCGTCATCTGTGATCATCATCTGATACATTTCCGCATACCAAGGGTCCTCCAGTATCCTCTTCCATCGATTCACTGATCTCTCACTGCTCAATGGGAGCAACGGTTCGGTGACGGTTGGTCCACATGAGTGTTCGTCATTCCTTGCTATTTCTGAACTGTCCGTCGCTTTGGAGCCCATGATACAACCGTTGCCATCTACCCCCTTGTGGATTTTGTCAAACTGGCTCATCTGAACAACCCTTATTCTCCGTCGTACAACAGATGTGACAACTGATGGCAGTGTCAGTCTAAATCGGCTTCTCAACAATTCCTCAATACGCTTATTTTTCCGCTTGTTGTCTTGCCATTTCTTCCAGTGCAGATTGTTATTGTGGCGTTACCTCGACCTCAACCTTTCCTGTTCACATGACAGTCACATGACCATGAACCACATCTCGTCAGTAACTTGGCAAGTATAGACATGGGTTGACTAGTGTGTGCCACCTCCCACTTTTTAAGTCCACGTTCGCCATACATGTGCACGCAGTAGTCAACTCTGAAGTTACCTTCGTCATACACACTAGTTTGATGCACCTTTATCTACATTGCTGTGTAAGATGACACAAAAGCTATGCAACAGTGGTCTGAAATGCAGGCTCCGCGCTCGAAAAATCTACCGATGTTCGGACTCCATCTTTACCAAATGACTATTGTTKTTCAAACGCTTCTCTCTCTCTCTCTCTCTCTCTCTCTCTCTCTCTCTCTCTCTGTGTAAAAGAAAAACAAAAGTTGAGTGCATGCTGTAGTATAACATTGCAACTGCGCCCTCCACTTATTGTTCTCGGAAAAACGATCAACCTTTTAATTTTTGTTTTTTTCACAATGAGTAATTCCCTGTACACTTCTAGAGCACATATCTATTCAACAAAAAACTGTCCTCCCTCTCTTTTGCATGCTTCTTCGAGCCTCACTGTGGTTTACAAAAACGAGGAACAATGTGAACGGTGTCAATGACGGTATCAATGACGGTATCAATCGTTATGACGCTACTGTGCTCATGACTGTTCACCTTCTCCCATTGCAACTTCTTACAACCTGTTGTGTGTTCCCTTTCGCTATCCACCTCTTTGTACCATTGCACGAAACAACACTTGTGCATCTCCGCAACACCACCTATGCAAGCGTTCATGACGAAAAACATGGCTACTGATGCATATCATATGTTGCGATTGCCACCTCTCACTGCAACATCGCTGTGCACGGCTCTCCCGTGGAACTGTGGTGAAGTTCTTGTCGTCTGAACGCTTGCGCCCCTGTGCGTCCCGTCGTATGTGCAGGCGATAGTCAAGTGTGTTCGAGTGTGTATGACTTGGTCATCAGATGGAGGTTGAGAACCCATCTCTGTCATGAACGTCGTAAGTGCAGCTCGAAAATCCTCTCTGCGGGGAAGCTCATTAAGTATTCTCAACGCTGCATCGCTCATACCGTCTACGCCTGACAAATGCACATCGTCCATCTGGAACCACCGGAGTTGTAGAGTTGCTGTGTCGCCCGCTGCCAGGGTATTACTTCCGGTGGCCATGCACTCCATCACGGATGACCAATTTTATGCCGACCTCTTCCTGCGTTTTCTCACACTCTCCATCTCATCCTACAAAGCCAATGAGCGTCGGACATGATTCACCATCTGGGAAGCAGCCTTACGCTTGTTTGATGACAAATATGGCTGTTTGCAGAACACATCAGCTGCGAACGTGTCGGGAACACCAGATCGCTCTATGCTTGTTCTCAAATGCATAAGGTCATGCAACTTCGGAATTTTCCAATAAGAGGTTTGATATTTTCTCATTTTCGTTTTTATACTAGTTATGAAATCACCTATCAATCTGTCACAAACATCGAGAGAGGACGCTGTGTGGGTTGACTTACGAAACACGTGTACGTACATTTCCATCAGTTTGATGAAACAAGCGAAAATGGATTTGCCTGTCGCACGTGGGATGATATCACAAATAATAAACACGCAAACTGTCATAACAGACCGATTTTGTTTCACTTCAAATCGTCGTTCCCTTGAAAAGAAATCACAACCTGTGGCTACGGGCAACACAAGCTGCCGGTATGTCCGTGTGGATCTCTCACTGATGCTCTGCAACCTCGCATCCATCTCGTGCAATATCTCGCTTTGCGAGGTATCTGGCAACTTCTTATAAGCAGTTGCATTAAATGCATCTATCATATGCAAAAAAATGTCGTGTTCAATGGTGCGCATACGGTCTGGTTGCAAAGCGAGATGGTAATCTAGTTTCGGATCGTCACCATGCGGACCCCTGTAGAATCCCCATAAGTCGTTCTCTTGAACATGCTTATGCATGTCCAATTCTGACATTCGTGCCTTAGCAGCACGACGGATGTCGTTGTCCCCACTGTTGAAGCAGTCCGCGGCAAGTTGCGTCTCTAGCGTCTGCGATCTCCTGCAGTTGGTGAAATCGGCGATGACATCCAAATCGTCTTTGGACACTGTGCATGTTGGACAAACACCGAATTTCACAGTTGCAAGGGCAAACCTTTCAGGATAGTCCTGTATATAGTTCATGACGAAAGGGTGCACTGTTATCTCACCGAACCGCTCCGTTGTTACCATCATGCCGTCAAGGGATGCCTCCTTTACGGACTGCAATACTGTTGACAACGCTTTATGCAATATCACAGTTTTCCGTTTTCTAAACGCGGTGGAGTGCGGACCCCAGCCCTTGTCACGTGGCCGGTGTTGAAGCATTGGAAGATACGCAAGCAGTGTGGCATCTGATGGGCGATGGGCGATTGACATCATCAGAGGATACGTTGTCTGCTTTTGACGACCGTCTACATGAGTCTTGTCTGAATACAGAGACAGATGGATGACATAACGTGTTCTACCATTCGTGTCCACACCCTTGTCCGCTCTGATAACAGTTTGGACATGGTGACTCAACTGCCGCGTGCGAGAGTCGCAAATTTCGATGTCCTCCCCGGGATGTTGTATTTCGAGGCAAGACACCGTTTCAACGTTGTTAAGTGCAGCACACACGAGGTCAGCGAACGTTGTGCGTCAGTCGCGGTACCACAGAATGACATGCGCTTCTTCGGGCCAATCATCACTGCGTAGATTTTTCTCTTGCCACCCTGCAGCTTCAGCCTAGCGGCCTACCCATGTCAGACACTCACGACTGTTACGAAATGCGATATCTCTGGGGTCAAATCTAGGATTTTTTAGGAGTGACAACAGACAGTCAACGTCAGTTTGGGACATGCCGACACTGCCCCTACACGAGAAAATCAATGCCGCTAGTTTGCGGGAGCTGTCGAATGCCTCTGCGTGTTCTTCTTGCTGTTCTTCGGATGCGCAGTCCGCTTGTACGTCAGGAGGGGGCTCAACCTCCTGGCTTTCCCCACTGACCAGGTCAATGGGACCACTATTCGACGGTCCACCGTTGACCTCCCCAACTATCTCTTCTGTCATGCTCCTCTCTTCCACAGTGGAGGGACATGCCCGCGCTCGGTGCGAGTTCATCGTCTGCAATGACATGAAAGGCCGGCCACAGTCACACACGTGATTCGCGTCTTCCATTGCATCTACGTGCGAGGTCTTACGAATTACTGTCA